AGCATCAAATACATTGTTATTATTTAGCCTATCACATTGGTGATGGGACAATTTGATGAGGCCTGAAGTGGTGATATCAGATAAATAACTTTGTTTTTGACATCTGATATTATTTGTTTTATTAATTTGGTTATTGTCTGTTTATATCTTTTTTTATTATTATTTTTATTGTGATTTGGGTGAAAGTTTACATAACAAATTCACTTTCCATGCAGCAGCTCACCTATACTTTCTTTATCTCATGACATTGACTACAATTTCCCACAATGCAACAGCTCCCCTCCCACTTCCTCCCCATAGTTACTTCTTCCCTGTATCCTTCCATGTACTCCTGTCCCCTGAGTTATCTTCCTGTGCATACATAGCCCTTCTATTCTCCCATAATTGATCCCTCCAAGGAGTGTATCTGCCTAATGTAAATGCTCAGCTCATATGCTTGTCTTTTGTTTGGCTGGAAGCCATGGAAATGGGTTCAATTCCAGACCTGAAGGGCAGCTAGAGGCCATAGTTTCAGTGGCTCCATCAGGTTCAATCAGACCAGCAAACCTTGTCCCCTCTTCCCTACCCCCCCTTTTTTTAATTATTTTGAGTTTTGTTCCACATTGTCCTCCTACTCTGTCCAGGATCTCTAACATAGATCCCCCTCTGAGTAGTTGACAGTGGTAGCCAGGCACCATCTAGTCAGATAAACAACTCTCACAATGAGTAAATGTGTGTGTGTGTATATATATATACATATATATAGATGCACTGCTAGTCTATTTCTAAACCCAAAATCAATACTTGTGGCACTTACATGGTTGTTCATGGACATGTGTGGAGTGGCAAAAAATTTAAGTTGCCTGATGCACATGTTCCTACCTGAGATCAAACAAGGTGACACTGCTTTCTTGGTTTAGCAAGAAACACTATAATAAGTGTCCTCTGTACGGTCTATTTAGTGCTACACTTTTCATATTTTTGTGCTTTTTCTTGATGATTTTACTGTTTAAATTGGCCCCCAAGCATAGTGCTGAAGGGCTGTCTAATGTTCCTAAACCCAAAAAGGCTTTGATGTGCCTTACAGAGGTGGTGTATACCTAAGGCACTTGACTGCTAACCAGAAGGCTGGCGGTTCAAACCCACCAGCCACTCCTTGAAAGGAAGGCTGGGCAATCTACTTCCGTAGTGATACTGCCTCAGAAACCCTAGGAGGGGTCGCTATGAGTCGGGGCCGACTAGATGGCACATAACAACAACAACAACAGAGAAAATACATGTTTTGGATAAGCTTAGTTCAAGCATGAGTTAAAGTGCTGTAAGTTCAATGCTAATGAATCTACAATATATATTAAATAAGATGTCTTTAAACAGAAAAACACATAAAACAAGGAGCTGTCTTGATTGGTTGACAAAAATGTTTATGCAGAGGCTCACTGATTCTGCGGTCAGAACCCTGTGTCTAGAAGTGATATTTCTGAAATTTCATTCTGGATGCTGTTACAAGGGGAAGCTCGCAGTCTCATCCCTATGCTCTCTGATTCAGCATGTCTGGGATGGTAATTCTGATGCAGAGTGACGTTAGAATATCTTCACATGATTTATGTACTCTAAAAGGAGTTATATTACTGAAGGGACTCCCAGTTACTGTTTGTCTCCTTATTTTACAAATTCAGTTATTTAACAAATATTTATTGAATGCTTACTCCATGCCAGACACTGAGCAAGGCAGTCGGATTGTAACAGTGAACAAGATCGACGTGGTTTTTGTTCTTATTAAGTGTGTGGGGGGGAATAAGTAAACAAATTAAAAATTATGATAAGAACTCTGAAGGACACAATAAGATACTACAATGGAGACTAATGGGAGTGGGGAGAATAGTGAGCATTTAAAGTAAAAATGATAGTTACAGACAGTCTCTTTGAGGAGGCAGCATTTAAACTAAGACCTGACATAAAGGAACTAGACATATGAAGAGTGTGCTGTTGTTGTTAGGTGCCATCAAATCAGTTCAGACTCATGGTGACCCTGTGTGCAACAGAACAAAACTCTGCCCGGCCCTGTGCCATCCTCACAGTCCTTGCTTTGCTCGAGCTCGTCATTGCAGCCATTGTATCAATCCATCTAATTGAGGGTCTTCCCCTTTTCCTCTGACCTCTGCTTTACCCAGCATCATATCCTTCTCTAAACATCGGTCCCGTCTAACAAGACAACCAAAGTACCCCATTCTTGTTTCTAAGAAGAGCACAGTAGTCTGTATAAAAATCTTGTGCACAGGCACTGAGGCAGGAACAACCTTGATGTGCTTCAAAAACAGAAAGACCAGGGTGGCTGGTGCCTAGCAATCCAGGGGAAGAAAGGTATAACTTTAGTCAGGTAAACATTAGATTATACAGGCCTTTGGGTGCTGTAATAAGTCATAATGGATTTAGAGTGGGAAGGGGATCATAAAAGGAGTCTAGAGTTCAGAGGGAAGGCCTAGTTTGAGACATGAATGTGAGAGTTATTAGCATATTGATGGAGAGTCATGGGAATGGGTAGTCTAACCTAGGGAAAGGGTGTAGAGAGAGAATACAGGTGGGCCTAGTAAAAGAGAGTCAGAGCAGAGGTGGTGAGAGCAGGAGGAGGTAGGAGGAAGACCAGGAGATTGTAGACTCAGGGAAGCCACTAGAGGAGAATGCTCAAAGAGAGAGGTGTTGATTGTGTCATTGCTGCTGAAAGGTCTAAAACAGTACTGTTCAGGACAGTAGCCAGTAGCTGCATGTCATTATTGAGCACTTGAAATGTGGCTAGTCCAAACTGAGATGTGTTGTAAGTATAAAATAAAATGCATACCAGATTTTGAAGATCTACCTCAAAATTGAATGTGAAATATCTCATTAATATTTAGTCATGATTACATATTGAAATAATATTTGCATATAGTGGATTAAATAAAAAATTATCAAAATTTTACCTGCTGCATTTTACTTATAAAAAATATGGCTACTAGAAAATTTAAAAACACATATGTGACCCACATTGTATTTCTGTTATGGAATTTGGCAATGTAAGTGTCATTAGCAATCTTGATAAGAGTGGACTGCCTGAGTTTAAGTAATACTTTGCAAATTGTTTAAGGAGCTTCTGCTAGATAGGTAGAGATAAGTATTGATTTGGGTGAAGGGAAGGGCAGTGTACTGAAAGTGAGTGATCAACACGGTGGCACCAAGGAAGAAGAAGACAGAGAGAGGTACATAGGAGGTACAGACAACAAAGATAAAACCCTTTCACATGTACAGTACTGTGTTGTCAGTGATGGCAAGCATTGGTCTATGGATAGATATATGGGTGGCAGGCTGAATGATCAGGCATGTCAAGGTAGAGGGGAGTGTACCCACAACTATGTACAGGTACAGGGTTAGAAGATAATGTTTCTACATGCATATTTGTATGTGCTGTAAGAATGTCTGGACGTACTGTAGAGCTGACAAGGGACAAGGTTGTGGTGGCTTCTTGGCCACAGCCAACTATCCTGAAGGAGCAAGTAGTTGGACCTGTGAGCTCAGGACTGTGGCTTCAGGGGACATCAAGCTCAATTGGCATAACTACTACACAAAGACATTGTTCTACATCCTACTTTGGTGAGTAGCAACTAAGGTCTTAAAAGCTTGCAAATGACCATCTAGATGCAATGATGGGTCTCTCCTCATCCAGAACAAAGAATAATGAAGAAAACCAAAGACATATGGACACAGTTAGTTCAAGGGACTGGTAGACCATGCGATCCTCAGCCTATACGACCATGAGACCAGAAATACTAGATAGTGCCCGGCTATGATTGTCAACCTACTCGGAGGGGGATTGGTGCAGGAAATCTTGGATAGAGTGTGAGAACAATGTGAAACAAAACTCAAAATCATTAAAAAAGACTAGGTTGCTGGCAAGACCCCTAAGACTATGGCCCCTAGTTACCCTTCAGGTCTGGAAATGAACTCACTTTGTGGCTTCCAGCCAAACAATAGACCAGCATAGAGGGTGAACATTTACATCAGGTAGATACACTCCTTGGAGCAATCAGTGATGAGAAAACTGAAGGGCAGTGTTTGCACAGGGAGACAGCTCCAGGAGCAGGAATGCATGGGAGGGAAGGACACAGGGAAGAAGTAACTACAGAGAGGAACTGGAAGAGAGCTGTTACATTGTGGGGAATTGAAATCAATGTCATGAAACAAGAGGTGTATACACTGCTATATGGAAAATGAATTTGCTCTGTAAAATTTCACTCAAATCACAATAAAATTTTTTTTTAAAAAAATTTCTTTGAGGAATCCTGGTGGCACAACTGGTTAACTGGTTGGCTGCTAAGCCAAAAGGTTGGCAGTTTGAACCCACCCAGTGGCTCTGGGGGAGAAAGACCTGGAGGTCTGTTCCTATAAAAATTCAAAAAGAGCCTGTCAAAACCAAACCCATTGCCATAGAGTCAATTCCACCTCATAGCAATTCTATCCACTTTGTCATATAGGGTCACTAGTGGCGTAATGCCTAAGGTGTTTGACTGCTAACCAGAAGGCTGGCAGTTCACACCCACCAGTCACTCCTTGGAAGGAAGGTTGGGCAATCTACTTTCATAGAGATAACACCTTGCAAACCCAAGGAGGGGTCGCTGTGAGTCGAATTGACTTGATGCCAGTGAGTTTGGTTTTGGTGTGAATCGAAAATTGATGCAACAGCATCCAAAAACTATGGAAAATTGTTTATACTTAGGTAAGACTGAATCATCTAATACAATAGTATTATTGTCTAAACTTAAATTTAAAAATTCATCACTAAATTTTCTAGAGTTTTTGATGTGTACGTAAGTGATTTAATAGTTTCACATAAATTGATAATATAATAATATATAAATATTTAAATTAAATCTTTTGAAATCAACTCTCAAAGGTGGTTTTTAATTTTTTTTTTTTAACTGTTCTTTCTTTGTTCCCCTTTTGTCTTCTTTTTTATTTACTTTTTTTTTTTTTTTTTAATATCTGGCCAGGAAACTTCATGGTGTTATGGTCAACTTGCCGTACAGCCGTGTTCAAATCTGTCACCAATAGGTTCATTAAAAACCTGGCCTGCTCGGGGATTTGTGCCAGCCTGGTCTGTGTGCCCTTTGACATCATCCTCAGCACCAGCCCTCACTGTTGCTGGTGGATCTACACCATGCTTTTCTGCAAGGTCGTCAAATTTTTGCACAAAGTCTTCTGTTCCGTGACCATCCTCAGCTTCCCTGCCATTGCTTTGGACAGGTAAGATCAAATGCCTTTTTTTAAAAAGTGTATTGAAAATTAGCATAACAAAGCAGATGGGGAACAGTCAGTTGCTTCTATACATTGGCTTTTAAAGTTGGTTTGTGGTCAGCAGAAAGAGAATGAATACCTGAAACTGATTCTTCACAAAAGACAGGTTGATATAACATCAGCCACAGAAAGCAAGACCACCAAGACAAGACCTGGCCGTGGGGTGGGAGTTACCTCATGAGGATGCTGGAGCCCTGCTACTGGATCATTATGCAGTTTCAGCTTGGTTGGAATTGGTGGCATTTGTGTTGCTTTATAGCAGATTGCTCATCTGATTTGATAACTCTGCAATTAGGGCTCCTTTGATACAAGATGAAAATATATGTGGAAGAATGAGGGAATGATTCTGTGATTATTTAATGAAGAACAGTCCATTTGGACCTGGCCAGATAACACTAGGATTCCTCTGAAGGATTTATTTCCAAAGTGCAGGACTGTGATAATTGTTTCCTCTTCCTGCCTTCTTTAAAAGAATGTATGCTTGGAATGATATCTTATATCCCAGCTACTGTATATTTATGTTTATTTATATATATTATGTTCTTGTTAGGTACTGTTGAATACCGACTCATGGTGTACTTAGGAATAACGGAATGAAACGCTGCTGATCTTGCACCATCCTCACGATTATTAGTGCTTGAGACCATTGTTACAGCCACTCTGTCAATCCATCCCCTTGAGGCTCTCCTTCTTTTTTGCTCTCTACTTTTCCAAGCCTGATGTCCTTCTCCAGGGACTGCTCCCTCCTGATAACATGTCCAAAGATACCAAAGTGAAGTCTTACCATCCTTGCTTCTAAGGAGCATTCGGGCTGTACTTCTTCCAAGACAGATTTGTTCATTCTTCTGGCAGTCCATGGTTTATTCAGTATTCTTCACCAACATCATAATTCAAAGGCATCAATTCTTCTTTGGTTTTCCTTATTCATTGTCCAGCTGTCACATGCATATGAGGCGATTAAAAATACCACGACTTGGGTCAGGTGGACTTTAGTTATCAAAGTGACATGTGTACTTTTTAACACTCTAAAGAGGTCTTTTGCAGCAGATTTGCCCAATGCAATATGTCATTTGATTTCTTGACTGCTGTTTCCAAGAGCATTGATTGTTGATCCAAGGAGAATGAACTCCTTAACAGCTTAAATTACTTTACCATCTGTCAGTTTGTCCTACTGTGGTGGCTTGGGTGTTGCTATGATGCTAGAAGCTATACCACTGATTTCTCAAATACTAGTATGGTCACCGAGGGTGGACAGGTTTTAGTGGAGCTTCCAGAGTAAGACAAACTAGGAAAAAGACCTGGGGATCTGCTTCTGAAAATCAGCCAATGAAAATCCTATGGATATATATTATTATATGTTATATATACATGTATAAACGCTTACATATTATATATTATTATATAATATGTATAATTATATGAAGGAGGCCTGGTGGTCCAGTGGTTAAGTGCTCAGCTGCTAACCAAAAGGTTGGGAGTTAAAACCTACCAGCTGCTTTGTGGGAGAAAGATTACAACCTTAGAAATTGTTCTGGTTACCTAGTGCTGCTCTGACAAGAATATACCACAAATGGGATGGCCTTAACAAACAGGAGTTTATTCTTGTAATTTGGAAGCTTTTAGTCCAAGTTCAAAGTGCCAGGCTCTAGGGGCT